AGCTGGTTTTGCCCAGTATTTTGTACAGGTATCTCTGTCGAAAATTAATGATTTACTGAGACAAGTATGAACTGCCTCATTATATTCATTGTATTATTGAAAAGTAAAAACGCTCTCTAGGAATAACTATCTTGTTGCAAGCTGTGCTTTGAATGCAAATCTCACAAAAAAGCACATATTTATGTATTTTGTACAGAACTTATTTGCTTTAGGTCTTGATAAAATTTGAATTTAAAGCATTTAAAAAATATTTCTGGCCTGGTCTGGAAATGTTCCAACAAATAGTGTGGTGCCCTTTTTTCTCATCTTAACAGTATTTTGGCATAAACCAAAAAGCAGCTTTTTTCAAACAAATCAAAAACTTACCATTTAAATGTTTGGCTTTATGCAGATTTATTTTGTTGCACTTTACAAAAGCTGATGTGTTCAAATGCATTAAAAGTCAAGGAATTCAGAGATTGTTTCCACCTACTTGTACATTTATATATACATATAACCTGATATCAAATGAATGATATTTGCATAAATTATGCTCTCACTGGAGGTTAGAAATAACTTACCATCACATGACTCCTCATCCGAGTCATCTGTGCAATCACTGTCCCCGTCACAAAGCCATCGTTGAGGGATACATTTGTTACCAGTTGCACATTTGAATTGATCCGCACGGCAAGTTACAGCAGCTGTAACACAAATTAAAGGTTATAAATGGCCTTCTTTATTGAATATTTTTATTGATTATTTAGAAAGGTTTCATCAAATTGAAAATGCTATATCATTTTCTCCACGCTATCATTATTATAGGCTAATGGCCCATATGATAACAGAAAAAAAATTATGGTAACCAGACAATTTTGTGAGAAACAAGAATTCGAAAATGTTTTTGCACTGTTTTTTTTATGGTGAAATTATTTGCTCATATCTTGCTTGCTGACACAAGAAGAAAAAGTGATTAATATTTAAATAAATATTGTTAAAATATTACTATGAAGTTTGTTATTCACTGAAAAAATTCTGCTGAAAGTAACATGTTGATGTTACTATTGTGGATGTAATTTGTGTTCATTTAACCTTTTCACCACCAGTTTCCTCTGTTCATCACAAATTCACAAAATAGTCTGCACTTTTCTTCAGATTGGAAAAAAATAGCCAAGTTCTTTTGAGTAAAAACTAAAAATTTATCCAAATTTTGTCCGTTGGCTCCAAAATTAGGGTTCCTTTCCAGAAATATTGATGATTATAAAAAAAAAAGTGCAGACAAATTGCGGCAAGAAAATTTGTTGGTGAAAAGGTTAAAATAGTGAAAAACAATTTACATGCAGAGAAAGTACCCTTCAAAATGAAGCTGAAACACTCAAATATCTGTAAATCTACATGTACATACGTTAGAAGTATTCTATCTACTCTACTCTATCTACTTTTACTTAGTAGAAGCACATCTTTAATAGAAGCATGTGTATAAACCAATAGTTGACAGTATTGTATTCTGAATTATTAAAATATGACTTATTTTGACTACAGTATCACCTCTGTCAATTACCTAAGTATATGCACTACTATCAGAATGAATACGGCACTTTAATCGTGATTTTCAGCAAACAGCGATTTTCTGTTCCCTGCCAGATATCGCATAAAGCGTGAAAGAGGCAGTCTAAAAATCAAATGATTTAATTTGAACTTGAATTTCTTTCTTCATAGTTGCATGTCAAAATGCCAATCGTTCTGAGAGGAATATGGTAATGAGATACCCTTACTTCATTAAAATTGACCACCATCAAATGTGTATAGCACATTATTAAGCATGGCAATACTAAAATTAAAGCTGCAAGCAGCGTCACAGGGGCCCAAGCTATCAGACGAATTCTGTAATTAAAGAGCTCACTGGATTGCCATTAAGGTACTTTGAATGATTTGTACAATGAGGTTGGCGTGCCGATGGTTCCTTCTATTTACTTGGTTTGGTTATCGAGATATGGTTTTTAGAATATACAAAGAGCCATGTGCTTATGCATATTAATGAGGTTACATAATCATAAATGGTATTCTCTTATGTCAGTTACATCTTTTGTTTGATGCCTTCATTATGGCACTGGTTGCATGTCTCGTTCTGTTTTTAGTCAAATATCTTGTTTAACAGCATCATAATAACACAGGTTTATCTTCCTAACTGCAACAGTGCTTGAGATATAACAGTTATGCATATTAATGAGTTCACCTGACCATATATGGTAATTTGTTATTTTATTCAAATCTTTTGTTTAACGTCATCATAATTCAGCAAGTTTCATCTTCCTAACTACAACAGTGCTTAGATATAGCAGTTATGCACATTAATGAGTTAGAGCCCCCCCCCCCCCCCCA